AACGTTCCTCGGCCCGGCAACAGGATAAAATTCGAAGATCTAAAGCCGGACCAAATATATAACATTTCCGTGCAAGCAGTTACTGACAGTGGTTACGGAGAAATGTTGTGGAACGTGTTCTCTACGCTGCCGTATCCGGGTGCTCCGGATATTTTGAGGCTGAAGCATCGCACACCAACCACTCTGAATATCACTTGGACACCGGTGTGGGAAACCAGCATTTTGGGTTATCAGGTAAATCATGCTGGCTTTTATGAATTCTAAAAATTTTCATGTTTCAGATTCACAGCTACCCACTGTGGCCGGCACATGTGCCTACTCACCCCATTCCCGTCATTACGGACGTAGAGCCGGGTAAAATCGAAGCCACCATTACGGGTCTTCAACCGGCGACCATTTACAACGTGACGCTGGTACCAAAAGACAGAACTCAGGGCATCTATGGATTGTTTGCTACTCTTCCTTTGGGTACTTGTTGCGTTTCATTCTGTTGTTACCTTATTTTTTTGTTCAGGAAGCTTTGTTCCACGAGACTTGAAAGTCTGTGACGAATCTGCGCATGCCATATCTTTGTCGTTTGCTCCAATCGACTACGCCAGCGCTAGTCATTACCAGGTATGGTAGAACGTTGTATGTGTGGTTTAAATATTTACCATTCTCACTGGAAAGGTCGGTAATCTGATAAAGCTTCTGATGCTAATCTTGGTAGAAAATATTCCTATAGAGGTTTACTAAACATGGGTTTTACTGTATTTGGTTATCTATAGAATAGTAGGTAAAAGACGTAGGATGTTTTCTCTGCCGTGGTGTCTGTCCGGTCCGTCGCCCTCTCGAAGATTTCGTGCCATATAGGAATCTAAACGAAAATGTCTGATATAAACGACAATCATTCACTCTCAGAATGTGATAAACAAGCTAAACCAAGATTGCTGTATCTCCATAACGCCCGATTGAACCATTTTGCACACATCACGTTCCTTGGTTCATCGTTACTGGCTAATTCGCTGCTACGCAGTGGAAGGATCAAAGATATCCTAAGCGGGAACGACAAAATGGACTATTTGCATATGCTTTCATCTTTCCGCTGAGCAGGAACGAGCATATGTGGTCATTTCTTTGATCGAATCACCCTTCCGGACTTGTGCATCAGCGTATGCGGCTATTTCGTTCCCGCTACAGTAGTACAGCAATGGCCTGTTATAGTTTATTAACGAACGTGACGTTGATTCGATTTTTCTAAGTACATGTAATAGACTGATGTTAATATCCTTATTCTGACTGTCAAAGTTTCATTCAGTAAAACAGCAGTGACTGTCATAAAGGTAAATAGCGATTAATTACTTATTTAAATGATATTGAA